GTTATTCTCTCATCCCAATGATGTGGCCTCTATTTGCAATTTCAGATTGACTTGCCTTCGTCTTCAAAAAGAAGTCAGCTTGGCAGCCCTGTTTTCACCTCGGATTTCATTGATGTCATTATGACGCCATACACCATCGGATATATTTTCTTTGTTATTTAGCATATTAGGATTAGCCGCGAAATGAATACTCAGGAATTTATGAAGATTCGTTATTCTAAAGGGTATCAAATACACGATTTCGTTTTTTTTTTTTCTATATGTTCCTCTTTCTTCAAACTACTCAGGTTCCGGGCAAATAAACAAGCGTTTAAATAACATTCCACACACCGGGAAATTAGTATTTCTATCGTAATTGTATTAAGATAATGTATCAAAGTTTGACATGCACTGAAAATTACAAGGAAAATACAAATTGCATACATGTCAGATAAAAAAGTAGAGAACTAATATAAACTCCCATATCATCAGAAAGGATAATTTTATTTTTAAATATCTAATATAAAGCACGCGTATTGGGAGTAATTTTGTAGACTTTTCACCCTCGAGTTGAAACAAGCAAACGTGTATTTTCTCGGTAACCTGAAACGAATGTGACTCCTCAGAGAAACGCCATGATTTATGGAATAATAGCGAAAGCACATGATGAAAAGCATTCAGAATAATCGGAAACACTTATATTCTGTTTCGTTACTTATCACCAAATATTGACTTCGTATTTACGCACGCACGCACGCACGCACGCACACACACACACACACACACACACACACACACACACACACACACACACACACACACACACACACACACACACACACACACACACTGCGCGGTTTTACGTTCAGTTAATACTCTGTAATGGAAAATGATGATTTTAGTTTATTGAATCAGTGTTTTAGTGTCACTTCATTAGATCGATTAGCCTTACTAGCTAGTGCAGCGATTTTGAAGATTTTTATTTGGTATATAGATATTTAAAGCATGAAGCGTTTCCAAGTTTCAAGAAGTAAGCAGCTATAATTGGTACTTGCTGGGTAGAAGGGGGGGGGGGATTAAATACCGCCTCACCCCCATGTGTTGCCTTTTCGATGAACAATGCCAGAATATCGCATTTAAAAATACATGCCACTACAGAGTCAACAAAAGGTAATGCTACATGTTTTGTTATCACTTGTTTGAAGAAGCCAAAGCTAAAATGGGTTACGTAATTTCCAAAAATAATGATTGACTTATAATAATTCACTTATTGTTTATTTATATTCAACCGATCGCTCTCACTGTTTACTCATTTATAAGAAATACTATTTACCTCCTCATATCCCATTATAACATATATAACATGTCCTACAGTTAGACAGGCGAGGTGTTAAGCACTTGTACCTGGTTGCAACTCGTTTTCGGTGGACAGCGTAAGTTTTGAAGTGTATGAAAGGGTGGCATTAAGTTAAAAAGAAATGTTACGTTAAAAACCGTTTGTGTGTGTGTGCGCGCGCTCGTGTTTATTTAAGTTTAGGTCTATATATATAATAATTCATCCCCCCCCCCCTCTCTCTCTCTCTCTCTCTCTCTCTCTCTCTCTCTCTCTCTCTCTCTCTCTCTCTCTCTCTCTCTCTCTCTCTCTCTAACTTTTTTCAGCGACCATGGGAGTCAGTTGATAAGGGCAAGTCCCTCGTTACAAGAAAATGTTCTGTCTAGCTAGGACAAAGTGATGGCTAAATACTCTACAAGATACAATTATATACATATTTTGTACGTGAGAAGTGAATAACAAACCTTCATTTTCAGTGTAATGCTTCAATTATTTTACATAAATATATATATATATTTTTTATCTCAAGCTTCGTTCCATATAATCTGCAGTACGAATAGTAAACAAACGCATAAGCCACTTTGTTAACGTGGTGCAAGAGCTACAAGTGCAGTCAGCTGTACATTCGCTCGCTTCTGCACATTTTAAATGTAGACATGAAATCAACGCGTAGCAGATGTTATATAAAGCTCACTGGAAACACACTCAGCGTCGTGATCGGGCGAGATAGCACAGAAGAGTCCATTCGCAGCTTAGGCCCATATACTCCTTGTAAGGGGACCCAGAGAAACAGCAAGAGTCAGACGACGGCGGCGTGCGGCCTGAAACTGCTCTCAGGACCCGACCTCCTGCCCATTTCTCAGGATTCATTAAGGCAAGGTATGTTGCAAGGTGTTCCTTAGTCTGTGACAAGGTAACTTAGTCTGTGGCACGATTCCTCTTATGCTGCGTTCGGAACTTCTCGTCCAGCAAGTTGGACAAGCTGTTCTGACCGTTCGGATAGCATTTGTATGTAAACAATTGCAGTTGCAGACAATCATATATTCATAGGTAATACAATAGCCCTTATTGTTGTCATCAAAGGATATTTTTGAGTTTGGCAGTTAAAGGTAAGTTATCTATGCATCAGAGGAATTACTGAACCTATGCAAAATGTAAAATACACTTGCATGGTAAGTAGTGAATGTTTACTTTCGAGCTGGTTGCATTGTGGACAAGGAAGGCCTCGCAGGCTCCGACCACGGCTTCGATGTCCTGCTCGTCCAGACGTGTTTTCTGGACAAGCAAGGCAAGGAGTTCCGAAAGCAGCTTAAGACTGGCAGGGTGCCTCTTAGCCTGTGGCAGGATGCCTTTTAGTCTGTGACAGGGTGCCTCTTAGTCTGTGGCAGGGTGCCTCTTAGCCTGTGGCAGTGTGTCTCTTAGTCTGTGGCAGTGTGTCTCTTAGCCTGTGGCAGGGTGTCTTTTAGTCTGTGGCAGGGTGCCTCTTAGTCTGTGGCAGGGTGCATCTTAGTCTGTGGCAGGGTGCCTCTTAGTCTGTGGCAGGGTGCCTCTTAGCCTGTGGCAGTGTGTCTCTTAGTCTGTGGCAGTGTGTCTCTTAGTCTGTGGCAGTGTGTCTCTTAGCCTGTGGCAGGGTGTCTTTTAGTCTGTGGCAGGGTGCATCTTAGTCTGTGGCAGGGTGCATCTTAGTCTGTGGCAGGGTGCATCTTAGCCTGTGGCAGGATGCCTCTTAGTCTGTGACAGGGTGCCTCTTAGCCTGTGGCAGTGTGTCTCTTAGTCTGTGGCAGGGTGCCTCTTAGCCTGTGGCAGGATGCCTCTTAGTCTGTGACAGGGTGCCTCTTAGCCTGTGGCAGTGTGTCTCTTAGTCTGTGGCAATGTGTCTCTTAGCCTGTGGCAGGGTGTCTTTTAGTCTGTGGCAGGGTGCCTCTTAGTCTGTGGCAGGGTGCCTCTTAGTCTGTGGCAGGGTGCATCTTAGTCTGTGGCAGGGTGCCTCTTAGTCTGTGGCAGGGCGCCTCTTAGCCTGTGGCAGTGTGTCTCTTAGTCTGTGGCAGTGTGTCTCTTAGCCTGTGGCAGGGTGTATTTTAGTCTGTGGCAGGGTGTCTTTTAGTCTGTGGCAGTGTGTCTCTTAGCCTGTGGCAGGGTGTCTTTTAGTCTGTGGCAGGGTGCATCTTAGTCTGTGGCAGGGTGCCTCTTAGTCTGTGGCAGGGTGCCTCTTAGCCTGTGGCAGGGTGTCTTTTAGTCTGTGGCAGGGTGCCTCTTAGTCTGTGGCAGGGTGCATCTTAGTCTGTGGCAGGGTGCATCTTAGTCTGTGGCAGGATGCCTCTTAGTCTGTGGCAGGGTGCCTCTTAGCCTGTGGCAGTGTGTCTCTTAGTCTGTGGCAGTGTGTCTCTTAGCCTGTGGCAGGGTGTCTTTTAGTCTGTGGCAGGGTGTCTTTTAGTCTGTGGCAGTGTGTCTCTTAGCCTGTGGCAGGGTGTCTTTTAGTCTGTGGCAGGGTGCATCTTAGTCTGTGGCAGGGTGCATCTTAGTCTGTGGCAGGGTGTCTTTTAGTCTGTGGCAGTGTGTCTCTTAGCCTGTGGCAGGGTGTCTTTTAGTCTGTGGCAGGGTGCATCTTAGTCTGTGGCAGGGTGCCTCTTAGTCTGTGGCAGGGTGCCTCTTAGCCTGTGGCAGTGTGTCTCTTAGTCTGTGGCAGTGTGTCTCTTAGTCTGTGGCAGTGTGTCTCTTAGCCTGTGGCAGGGTGTCTTTTAGTCTGTGGCAGGGTGCCTCTTAGTCTGTGGCAGGGTGCATCTTAGTCTGTGGCAGGGTGCATCTTAGTCTGTGGCAGGGTGCCTCTTAGTCTGTGGCAGGGTGCCTCTTAGCCTGTGGCAGTGTGTATCTTAGTCTGTGGCAGTGTGTCTCTTAGCCTGTGGCAGGGTGTCTTTTAGTCTGTGGCAGGGTGTCTTTTAGTCTGTGGCAGTGTGTCTCTTAGCCTGTGGCAGGGTGTCTTTTAGTCTGTGGCAGGGTGTCTTTTAGTCTGTGGCAGGGTGTCTTTTAGTCTGTGGCAGGGTGTCTTTTAGTCTGTGGCAGTGTGTCTCTTAGCCTGTGGCAGGGTGTCTTTTAGTCTGTGGCAGGGTGTCTTTTAGTCTGTGGCAGTGTGTCTCTTAGCCTATGGCAGGGTGTCTTTTAGTCTGTGGCAGGGTGCATCTTAGTCTGTGGCAGGGTGCCTCTTAGTCTGATGATAATAAATATTATTATAATTATAATGGTGAGAATAACTAGTATGTAAACAAACACAAACACGCGAAGGTGGTGTCCTAGCTACACGCGCAGGCAATTGTAAATACAGGAAATCAACGTGTAGCAGTTCTTATCTAGAGCTCGGCAGATACACAATCGGGCAAGATAATACTCGCAGCTTTGGCCTATATACCCCTAAGCAGGCGTCTCAGAGAAACCGCAAGAGTCGGACGGCGCCCGCGTTGAAGCAGGGCGGCGTGCGGTCTGAATCTGCTCCCAGGACCCGACCTCCTGCCTTTTTCTCAGGATTCATGAAGGCAAGGTATGCGGCAAGGTGTCCATTAGTCTGTGACAGGGTGTCCCTTAATCTGTGGCAAGGTGTCCTTTAGTCAGTGGCAGGGTGTCCATTAGTCTGTGGCAGGGTGCCCCTTAGTCTGTGGCAAGGTGTCCCTTACTCTGTGACAGGGTGTCCCTTAGTCTGTGTCAAGGTCTGACGTGCGCATAGCTTCGGCGCCGATGATGGGAGGAGCATTTGCCACGTCATTGGGCCTCTCGTAGATGTACATTTTATCATTATTATATTAGATGTACCATCATTGCTTTAATTTGCACCGTAATTCTCATTATTTTTCTCATACTGCTGTAATAAAAATGATTGAAAAAATGGTAATAAGAATGATGACAATAATTTGATAGTGATGATGATGGCAATGAAGATGATGTTGTGATAATAGTGGTGATGATGATGATATATAATAATTATGATGATCATAAGTGTCATTAATATTATTGTAAGGGTGAGAATAACGAATAATGAAAAAATAACATTGATAATAAAGTAATAATGGTAATAATATTGATAATGGTAATGTTAACAATAATGATAATGACGTATCATATTTATTTTTCACACTGTCATTTTCTCTTTGATTTTTCTTGTTATCATCACCAGCCCCATTATTTTCATCATTAGTCTTCATTTTTTTAATCTTTATCATTTATTTGCTTTAACCATTAACCATTATCCTTATCATCTGTATTACCATCACTTTTCGTCATTATAAAGTTGTATTAAGGAAATGCACAGAAATCATGTATTTTATTAAAATACATATATCATAAATAGGCTTAGGTAAATAAAGATCTTAATTGTTATCATTATTATTTACTATTATTGTCACTACCTTCATCAACATTATCATTATCATTTGCAGCAACAGTAACATCATCATCGCCATCACCATAACATTCTATCGTTATTGTTGCAGTTACTATATTTATTAGAATTGAATTATGCTTATTACAAATTTTATGAAAATAATTTTGACTCGGTAATCGTAGCACACCAATTTTATTACCGTTGTTATCAATTTCACTATTGTGATACTATTATCCAGTGTCTGTTATAACAATGACATAAAAGAGTTCTTGTCACATAATGGGTGTTGCGGTTTACAGATAAGATTAACCTTGTCATTGATTCTCTTCGAAATCATATGGATATTAGTATTTCCTCAAAAACATTTTTAACAACTTTGAACTTCCCTTCTTGTAACATATTTGCTTACAGTTACTTAACAGAGTTAGTAATACTTTCCTTTTTTATCGCGTTTCGTTTTTTTTTTTCTGTCAGTCATATGTATTTTATTGATTAATGACTTTGGTATATATGGATAACATTCATGCAATAGTAATTTTCAGTATTATTTTTTAAGAAACTCAAATTTAAGTATGTTAATTATCTATGTACTACATGGTTGTATATAGGATACAATCGTATGTCTATATATGTATATATATATATATATATATATATATATATATATATATATATATATATATATATATAATTTATTTATTTATTATGTATATATGTGTGTGTGTGTATAAGTATATATATATACATACATACATACATACAAACAAACACACACACAGGTGTATATATCATATATACACGTAGGCCTACATATCTATGTATAGGTATGCAGGCCTATTGTTTTCTTTTTCACTCCAATGAAAATAGAAGACGTACATCATAAACAGACTCGTGTACCCATTATATTCATCAAATCAGTATACCACACAAACACATATGCGTGTGCGCCAACAATTCAAAAGAATTTGTGCAAATATTTTCTGTTCTTGTGTTAAAATATATTCTGCATCTTTTATCACGATTAACCTAATATGTTTTGTCCATTCCATAACAGGCGAGGAAACTAAAAAAAAAGGACTATTATATACTGTCAAGGGAGCAGAAAAGCGCAAAGGCAGAGACGCAGAATATTATACTCAGTCTGCAATGTTGAGATGGCTCTGTTGCCTGCGCGAGGAGGACAACACACAGTCCTTTTGGTGTGTGTGTTGCACAAAGGAAACATACCGAGAGCTTGAAGAGGGAGAAGAGAGAGCAGAGAGAGATGAGGGAGAAGAGAGAGCAGAGAGAGATGAGGGAGAAGAGAGAGCAGAGAGAGAGGAGGGTAAGGAGAGAGAAAAGAAAGAGGAGAAATTGGGGTCTTCGCTTGTCGAGACGTGTTCCTCGGATTCCGATATTCGTCAATCCGGCGACGAAGAGAGTGAATCGCGCGGGTGGTCCGGTACCCACGAGTGCCAGTCCTCGAGCGGTGTTGACGCAGGCGAAGGAGGAGGAGGAGGAGGAGGCTCCTGGTGTTGTGCTTTCGAAGATGAACAACGTTGCTGCCGTGGGGAATCAGGAACGCCACAGTCAGCAAGCAAAGCCAGATCAGCCAGCGTGCTTTTCGAGGCCGGAGATGAGGTCCGTGGAAAACAGTGGGACGACCGCCTGCACGCTCACGATTCAGAGGTCGACACAAGAGCGGACGACCGACAGTCCTGTCACGGTGGCGATTTACTAGAACGAAAAGCTTCGTACTGGGCAACGTTAGATCAACAGAACTCGTTCACTGACTCTGAAACTTATCATTCTCATTACAGAGACAGTCCAGTCGACTCAGAAAGTCTGGACAAGGACGAAATCTCAAGCCAGAATCAATCTGCATGTCATAAACCTGATGTTCATGATTCTTATGACGAATCGGAACACCACAACCCTGAGCATGGTGGTGATTTTAATGGCAATGAGTCCCAGAATCGACAGTCTATAAGTGAAGACGTCGAGTATCATCAATCGCTGTGTGATGTACCTGAATATAGTCAGCGTTACGAAAGAATGCGACTACAATTTGTCGAAGATTACTTTTACGACAAAGGTGGTCAGCATTTACAAAAGGACGGGGACCTCTCGTGTCAAGAACCTTCAGTTGAAGAAAGATATGCGTATCGCCAAGCCCATCTTGAGGGCGCCGAACACGAAACGCTGGTATACGTTGACTCTGAGAACTGCACAGATTACAGTGATCATTTGCTTCGATGTACATCCTCTAATACTAACACAATAGGCCGACGGTATGATGAAGTTCTTGAAGAGCTAGAAGCCGAGAATGATACTTTCAAAGATCAGAAATCGGAATCCAGTGGCTCGGAGGACGTCGCAGAATGCGGCGATCACCTACAACGCCACAGTTGCTCGAATGGCAGCACGAAACGCGGGCAGAACAAGGTCGAATTCAGAGATCAGCAGTCCTTTGCCGAAGAGTCTGGGGCTCAAACATTTGAGTATCGTGTCCCTGAATGCGGTGAACCTTTATATGTTAAAGAATCCAGTGATGAAGATTCTGATGAATTTCCTAGAAATGAAACTGCTGCATATGATGACTTCATAGACGACACAGAGGATGATGAATATTTTCAGAATAATTCATTATATATCAGCAGAACGAAACAAAAGCAGAATGTTAACAAACTTAAAGCACAAACGTTCCAGCACAGTGATAACAGAACTACAGTAAACCAGAGACAGAATACTAGTAACAGGCCCCAAAAGACTAGACAGACTGAGGGATCTTCAGGCGACCGTAGAGCGCAGAAGAATGCAGCAGAGAAGGCAGTTGGTCGCGTTCCTAAAGTTATACTCACCAAGACTGTGGAGGTGACAATAGCTCGGCCGCACAAGATTATGTCCAATACTGGGATCCTGGAGGTGGAGAGCAACAGGATCACAGGCAGCAAGGCTAAAGTTTTCTTCCATAGGGACACGCTCTACCTCAATCAGAAGAAAGTTGAAGACGGGAAGCCCCTCTCGATGCTTCTGGGGAAGCAGAATCAGCAGTGGGGCTGCGTGGCACGGGCCTTCCCCATGAAGAATGGCTCCTGCAGGAAGATCGCCGGCGTTGAAGTCCATCTGATAGCCAGCCTGGTGTGGGTGGGCGACAGACCTTCGTCGGCTGACGTCAGAAAAATGTCCCGAGAAAAGAAGCCCGGCCCCCAGTCGGAGCAGAGCCGCCGGCAGCCTCGTGAAGCTGGAAGGCTGTCCCGGGAAAAGAAGCCGCGCCCCGAGTCGAAGCAGAGCAGCCGGCAGCATCCTCAAGCAGGAGGCACTGCGCAGGCCAAAGAAGGAAATGATACCCTGGAGACGGACTTGGCGGACAGTGCTTCTCCAAAATCCGTAAGTATAAATGCTTGTCATGTTACTGAAGAATCCAATTTGCTCATTACAGAACCGCATTCAGAGTAGGAAACCCCTATTTACCTGTATAGCAATAGTTATATATTTTGACAGTTTTGATTTACACTTCAGGAACATGTTGTTATGTCTGGCACGATGGCCTCTTGCTACAGTACTCAGGAAGGAAGTACAGAATGTGCATTACCTTCCATTTGATGTCACGTCAAATGAAATAAGATAAAATAACAGAAATGGGGCAACCAAAAAATTCATGTTAGTATCACTTATTTTCAATAGTCGCATCAGTAATTTCTTAGGAATGATATTTCTGAAATGGGGTGTGCTTTATTTCACCCAGCCAGTCGGGATGACACATCTACACAGCAGATCAGTATTGCTGATGTAATTCTTCAACCATTTAACTTCTAAGAAATATTTGCATTAAGAATAATAATAGATTGGTCTCTGAATGCGCTTTCGGGAAATCCAGGTTCGCACAGTTTTAAAAACATACAGGGTGTCAGATTTCGGTGCCCAACCACGAGAGCGCTGCACACGCAAGCAGAGGGAATTTGAAATTAGCGAAGCAAGTAGAATCACGTCAGTCATCTGAAGTTCACACTTTATAAATCCTCTCAATGTGCGGAGAAAAAAAACCTCACTGGATGAGCCACCACTACGATCATCGTAGAAATGGTCACATTTTAAAAGTTGTTTATCACTATAATATATAATCTAACTGTGACAGAACACCAATTGCTTCCAGGGACCTTTTGTGTCGCCTACCCTTAAAGTGCGAATGGAAAAGTAATGTCTGTAGCTTCCAGAGCACAGTCTAGGCCATTTGTCCTTTTTACACCTTTCTACATTCGTTTGGTGTTTATTTGCATTGGCTGTCATCAATTAGTATTAACGTTGACGTATTCAGGTATGCCATAACACATCACACTGAACCAAAGATTCCTCTCCTTTGGGGATGCAGGAAATGGTGCGAGGTAGAATCAGCGGAGTCACAGCGTCGTACGCTGTGCTGCAGATGCCCAACGGCGCTTACGCGAACTTCCGGACAGATCAGTGCTTTCTGTACGGCGTGTGTCTGCAGGAGGTGCAACTGTCAGAAGTTATACCTGAGGGTAAGTGTCCTCTCCCTCCGTCTCTCGTTTTTTCCCTCTCTTGTGCCAGATCAGTTGGCCAACAATATGAATATCTAATGTTTTTTCCATTCACATTTTCGTCAATAACATGAGCATCGACATATTCCCGTCAGTGCACTCTATCTCATGATTGTGGTACTTTAGAGTGAAAATGTTTATGTTACTGATGAAAGCTAAAATCCACAAAATACTAAACAAACGCGAATGGTGTGAGATATAGGACACGCCCAACCTCATTTGAAGGAGGGGCCGGTTTCGCTGGGACGCATAGCGAAATCAAATCCTTTTTCTCGGTTTCAGGAACGGAAGCTGAATACGAGATGTGCGAGGGCCTGAAGGACCTGAAGGGGGTGTGGGTGGGCGGCAGCGCGCTTCTGGAACCCTCCGAGCTGTACGCCAGGCTGGAAGCTTGGTGCAAGGAGCACGGAGTTCCTCACAGGACGGCGGCCTCGCTGGTGAGGAGAATGAGAGTGATGTGCTCAAGCCATGCAGGTTCAGATTATATGCAAAATCTGATGGACACACACACACACACACACACACACACACACACACACACACACACACACACACACACACACACACACACACACACACACACACACACACACACATACACACACACACACACACACACATATGAATATATATATATATACACGAATATATATAGATATATATATATATATATTTATAAATTTATATAAGTGAGTGAGTGAGAGAAACACACATGTGTACGCTACGCTTATACATGTATATGTGAAATATATCCAAGCACATTATTTGTATCTGGTGATAATATCAGTAGTGACGGACATTACCCCCCCCCCCCCCCAGCTGTGCATGGCGGGATGGCTACCAGTCGACCTGGAACCTGTAGCTGACCTGCAGCCCTGGAAAGAGATAGTCGAGGTGAGCAGCCCAGCCATTCGTTGGAAAACCGCGGGCAAGCACAAGCACAAGCGTTAATAAGACCCTGTTCTTCGAGACGGCCGCTGCGGTGGTTCTCAAGAGGCGATTCTCGGTCCAGTTTTGGTAATAAATTGAAAATTAGAATATATATATATATATATATATATATATATATATATATATATATATATATATATATATATATATATGGATGTACATATGTGTATATGTATGTATATGTATAAATTATGTATGTGTATATGTATGTATATATGTATATGTAATGTATATTATGTATGTACGTATATGTATATGCATATACATATATATACATATACATGTATGTATGTATATATATATATATTTACATATACATGTGTACATGCACATATGCATAGATATGTGTACATGTACACATATATGTGTGTATGTATATATATATATGTATACATGTGTGTATATATACATATATATATATATGCATATATATATATGCATATATATATATATATGTATACATGTGTATATATACATATATATATATATGCATATATATATATGCATATATATATGCATATATATATGCATATATATATGCATATATATATATGCATATATATATGCATATATATATGCATATATATATATGCATATATATATGCATATATATATATGCATATATATATATGCATATATATATATGCATATATATATATGCATATATATATATGCATATATATATATGCATATATATATATGCATATATATATGCATATATATATATGCATATATATATATGCATATATATATGCATATATATATGCATATATATATATATATGCATACATATATATGCATATATATATATATGCATATATATGCATATATATATATATGCATATATATATGCATATATATGCATATATATATATATGCATATATATATATGCATATATATATGCATATATATATGCATATATATATATGCATATATATATATATATGCATATATATATGCATATATATATATGCATATATATATGCATATATATATATATGCATATATATATATGCATATATATATATATGCATATATATATGCATATATATATGCATATATATATATATGCATATATATATGCATATATATATGCATATATATATATATATATATGCATATATATATGCATATATATATATGCATATATATATATATGCATATATATATGCATATATATATATATGCATATATATATGCATATATATATATTTATATGCATATATTTATATGCATATATATATATATATGCATATATATATGCATATATTTATATGCATATATTTATATGCATATATTTATATGCATATATTTATATGCATATATTTATATGCATATATTTATATGCATATATTTATATGCATATATATATATGCATATATATATATGCATATATGTATATGCATATATATATATGCATATATATATATGCATATATATATATGCATATATATATATGCATATATATATATGCATATATATATATGCATATATATATATGCATATATATATATGCATATATATATATGCATATATATATATGCATGTGTCTGTGTGTCTGTGTATGTATATATATATGTATATATGTGTGTAAATATATGTATATATATACATGTATATGTGTGTGTGTGTATTTATATATATATATATATATATATATATATATATATATATAGATAGATAGATAGATAGATAGATAGATAGATAGATAGATAGATAGATACACATATATATTTATATATATATGTATATATGTATGTATGTATGCATGTATGTATATATATGAAATATGTCGGAATCGTACGAGGAATCTGATACAAGGACAGTAATCTTGCTGAGTCGGAAGTTTAGGTTGATAAAACGGATGCCGTAAGCGATGTTTCGAAAATTGGTTAGATTTTTTAAAAATTCCTGAGCGTGGAACATAACCGACTGCCACGGATAGCATGGCATACAAGGCATATCTACTGTATTTTAATTTTACGAATTGTTTAATTGGCTCAATACGTAGGAAGTTACCAAGTAGTCAATTAATATTGCTATCGATCTCACCTGTTTACCTAATTTTTTTGAGAGATTCATCTCTTATCATTTCATTAGTTTTACTGTTATTAGTATTTTGATAACATAGCCACAATAATAAAGTTATTACAGTAATAATATCAATATTTAGAGCATTAGCAAAACAACATTATTTTCCCGCAATTTCAAGGAATGGCGAATTCAGGCGCGGTCACTACGCGCTACCAATGGACCTCTTGGTGGCTGAGCGCATGTGGGGCCATCTGTGTGCAACAAAATTCATACAAAAATCAAATGCAGAGGACTGTTCACGGCACAACAAATTGAAGTACAACCCTGTTTATGCCGCTCTATTTCTCTCGGTAAACCAGCATTTCTGAAGCGAAAATAAGCGCGTTTCTCCTTTTCTTTTCTTTTTTTCCTTTTTACTTTATGTATTTGTACTTCATAAAATTCAGACACTAGTCACAAATCTGTATACTAATCAGAACAGGCAAAAGGATTATAATTAGAATATAGTGAAGTTACTCTATTTACCTAAAATATTATAGGTGATGGGTAGAATGACATATTCTGCCAGACTCCACAACCCTCTTCACGCACGCATACGCACATGCACATGCCTACGTACACGCACATGCATACGCACACGCACAAGCACATACACATGCATACGCACACGCACAAGCACATGCACATGCATACGCACACGCACATTCATACGCACATGCACACGCACATGCATACGCACACGCACATGCACACGCACATGCACATGCACACGCACACGCACATGCACATGCAGACGCACACGCACATGCAGACGCACACGCACACACACACACGCACATGCAGACGCACACGCACATTCAAAAGCACACGCACACGTGTATATATGTATATGTGTGTGTGTTTGTGTAGGTATATATATTCGCTGCGTCCTCCCTAAGAATCTAAGTTCAGAAAATAAAGAATCACGTGAATTGGATGAGTTTCATTTCCCCTAAGTGACAGATATATATTTTGTTTACATTTCATTGTCTTAAAAATCCATCACTGGAAATCATTTATGTTTTAATGTCGATGTCAAAACTCTTATACACAAACACATACAAATACAAACACACAAAACACACACAAACTCTTATATGATAGATGTTTAATGAGTACATTTTATATGAAAATAATTTTATATTATTGTTGACTGCCATTGTGAAATTAGTTGTCATTTCTATGAAAAAATCTAAGGTTTCCTTCTAGCGCTTTCTTTTACGAGTTAAATTATGTAATCATAAACATATGTGGAAGTCTGGCATCGCAGGACGACTGGATTGTTCTGGTGGGCAGTTCAACGAGTCATTTTTTCCTTCGAAACTTTGTCTCTCTGGACATGTTCTGGACTTGTGTTCATTCATGCTCCGCCCATACACGAAGACACGCCCCAGTTTCTGGAACACCTCCTTCAGGAACGCCCACTTCTTCTTCTCATCTCCTGCGGTGCTCTCCGTGTTGGACCCTAACGAGAGACGGGAGTGCAGTTGACCCTCGTTCGCGACCTCGCCGAGTCTTCCGTGACCTCTGGAGTGGTGCGGGATATATGCACATACATATTTATATATCTTTATATATCTGTCTACAACTATTTTGCAACATCCCCCCCATCCTACAAAGCTCTGTCCAGGGTAACGAATCCATATAAAAACTGCAATCCAACATTAAGCGGATTGACTTGAAGGCTGAAATACCAACTGTAGTTCCGGTCCCAGGGAGAGGACTTATTAATCATTGAGCTTACTTTTGGCATTATCCGCATGTCGCTTATTCTCCGATCAAAGAGACATGATTAAACACAAACTCAGGGATTATGTATGCTTAGTCCTTCCCTGAGGCAAGCCCAAGATGAGATTGGTTTGGTGCTGACCGCTCCGTGCAAGGTGCATTATTATTATTTACATTATTGCTATCATTATAATTTTCGTGATCATTATTATCATTGTTGCTATTATTATATTATTATTATTATTATTATTATTATCATCATTATCATTATTATTATTACTATTGCTATTATTATTATTATTATTATTGTTGTTATGATTATTGTTGTTGTTTTGTCATTGTTGTTGCAGTAGTTCCTATTATTATTATTATTTTATCAGGAGTTTTATCATTATCATCATCGTCGTCATCAACATCATCTTTATCATCACCATTACTATTACTAATAATGTTATCATTATCCTTTTTATTTTGTTTATTTCGTGTTTGTTTCACACGATACCTGCGTTGATTTAATTGTTGTAATGTCCCTGTTTTTTTTTTTCTTTATTCCCTTTAGTGGTACCGAAATAATACTTCCACTTTCCCTAATACTTTAGTCACAAGGATCTTTTCCTATTAATATTAAATCCTCGCAACGTACAGACTTTTTCTGATAATACAAATATTACAGTCTTAGAATCAATAGACTCCTACATAAACAAAAAGAACGCGTATTCAGACATATACTAAAATTACTTTTCTTTAACAAGCGTACTTTCTTCATTAACGTTTAGCATCTCCTTCGCCAATAGCAAGTCAGGAAGAGTTACCAGCTAGTAAATATGGAAATGCCGAGCAGGCAAGGATGGGCAGTGCCACACTTTCAAGTCCGACCGTGCCAGTGTGTCCAGAACCCGTGCAAGCGCCACAACGTGCAGTTTTATATGACTCTACAGCTCGCAATACGTGAATTTTGACGATATATTTGATAAAATATAACAAATATACACGGACTTCTACTACAGTGGACATGATACAGTGACTGCTGTAAGGATAAGTGTAGCCAGTACTGCATGTTACATGATACGTATCTTAAACATGATTGATGTATCATTAATGTTTCCTCATATGCGTGTATACACTTAATCTCAAACATAGATGTGTGTGTGTATATATACACATTAATGCATGCAAGTTCATTTGTACGTATACATGTGTGTATGCCAAGGCCAAGGTTGATCTTACAACAGTGCTTGGCTGTTCGGACGGCTGATAAAAGCATCCTTGCAGTACTGTCGCTCAGCATCACGTCAGTTTACTAAAAGACAGAATTGAACAAAAAGTTAATTGTATAATTACAACTTAATATTTCAACAGAATGTGACATTGACAAGGGATTGTGAGTGGTAACTGAACTGGGACACAGTAATGCGGTATAAGTAATCTTTATGCGAACAGAACGAGCTACCATTGTTGCAAAATAGGGCTGAGGAGAAAGGTCGAGAGTGCAGAGACAGTATATATGAGCGTAAACATAACTAGTCTACGTCGTCACAACGGAAACGCAGAGGAAGGGCATTGTAAACGAAGGGGAATTTACGAAAAAAACGAAAATGTGGGAAGGTTCGTGGTAGTGATGTCAACTACATAGACACATGGAAAATGAGTAAAAGAGAGAATATAGATAGACAGACTGAAACGTATACACTCAAAGACATACAGATACAGGTAGAGAGTGAGAGAGAGTTAAAAATAAACGATACTATTATAACTGAAACTGTTTATTTTTCTTTTCACAACTACTCCGAATAGGAAAACGGCAAAAGAACAAATCCTCGAGTTATATTCCTCCGTAAATTGGGGCGGCACCTCCTGTAATTTGTCAGGCGGGACACAATTCTCCTGTGAAAAGCAAGCAAGAATATATATATATATATATATGTATTGGTTCCTCTTAAACTTACTTAAAACTTTCCGCAACTGAACTATCCCCCCCACCTAAGCGGCAACTTCGTCCTGCCTGCTGACACGATTTTCTTTTTTTTTACCCACCCATAGTCACTCGTATTACGTCCTTGGTCCTGGACGTGCGGTCCGTATCCCATTTTCCTGAATGAGCTCTTTGACAGAGGAACCTCACGACGGCGGGTAAACGGTAGAGTCAGTTCAACGGAGACCTCACTGCCAACACCACGGTTACCGCTCTGACACGACCCTCGCACGAGCTTTTAGTTTAGAAAAAAAAAATGTATGGAAGTGATACACACACACGCACGCACACATATATATGTGAGAGAGAAAAGATAGAGGACGTTGGAGGAGAGAGAGGAGGGGGGAAGAGAAGAGAGGAAAGGAAAGATTGGAAGATTAGGCTATCATTCTTTTAAAAAATATACAGTTTAAAGAAAAAGTGCCAACGTACAGCTCTCGTTTACTTTTCTTCTGGCGACACACAGGTCACGTGCCCGCCTGTCCGGGGTTATCATGGCAGGCACTGCGTTTCCTTGTTCTTAAACGTTTATATGCACTCCTATTGAAGCGAA